TAATGACAGAGAAATTTAAGATGAAAGAACAGAGCAGTGACATGGCTAGAATCAAAGTTCAAAGCCACATCCTTTGTGGACAAATTGATTTCACTAGTAAAATAGGGATCTGGTGGGTAAGTCACTTCAGAATGAAGAAAAACAGCTACCTTCAGTTTCCTGATGCAGGTTTTAACGAAAAATAATTCTCCCCTGTGTCATGCCTAGACTATCTGCTACAATAATTTGGTGATCTAAGAGAACATCATTGTAGAGCAATTGATCTATTGATTCAATTTATATTATAATCAGTTTTTATTCCTTGCATAGGTTTTCCCTGATATGAACATCTTTATATTTAAATTTCCTAGATGCTACTAGAGGCCAGTCACTGTAAGGGATTGAACATTTGAGTGCATTTTCTAAGAGGCTATAAATTCCCCAAAGCAGGGCTGCCCAACTTCTAAGCAGCTGAGGGCCAGCTTCCAACCCAGGGATTTGCAGTGCACCAGCCACAAGCCATGGGGCTCCATCCTTGGCAGGTTCCCTGGAACCCTGCTGTATGAGCAGCACAAGCTCCCCTCCTTCCTGCCACCACCCACAATGCCCCGCATCCCTCACTGCTACCACTATGTGAATAAGTTTCCTCCCCTTCCCTGCCCTGCAACTGGTGCTGTTGCATGGGAAGCTTATCATGTGCATGAGCTTATTAGGCTCCCTCTTGCTATGTTGCCTTGCCTCAGTGACTCAGTGGCCATAGCAGCAGAAGCAATGGTGCGAAGTGGTGGCTGTGCAGGATCTCGGGGGGCCCTCATGGCCCAGATGCACTGGCTCATGGACTGCCAGCCCTGCACTGAAGAATATCATAAAAATATAGTTTATATGGATGAAATAGAAGGAAATTTTTTATTTTTGCCAATAAGATAAAAAGCATATAATTATGCTCCTTGCCATTGTTGTATGCCTGTATTCTACTTCACACCTATATTCTGAATGGTAGGAGGAAAGTTTGCTGAAGGAATTCCCTACCTGTTTTCATAAACTGCTTCAGGTACTGATGTAAATGACATGCTAACCAGAGTGTTTCCAAGCTTTGAACTGAATCATTTCCTCTTGTACAGTAAAACATGACATCATTTTCAGCTGTTAATGCATTGAGCACATGTATCTATCATCTCTTTCCATGTATTGTATAAAAAGTTCAATAAAATTATAAATAATGCAATTTCATTATAGAAGTTGCAAATTGCATTTGAATCCATTTGTCAAAGAAACAGGAATTAGACATGCAAAATCTTAGAATTTATAAGCTGCCATCTTTTTACTTAGAAGTGTGATCTTATATTACACTGCTGGTGGTTTAGAGAGAAAAAAGGGAGCGTGAAGTAGCAATGAGATGAATTGTATAGACTATTTAAAGACAAAGACCATAGAGTTCTAGAAAGGGAAACTGCTGGGCTGGGAAATGTGGTACTTGTAAACTATATACAGTATGCTGTTAAACTGAGACCTCTTCACAGGCCTTTCTTTAGACAAGGTAGGAGGGTCCCTTTAGTTCAGGAGAGTGGTGCCCTAGGTAGACCACGCATAATCTATAAGGAGATGATTGTGCTATGGGTTATGCATACAATCAGCATATGGTTTATACATGGATTAAATATATTTTAGAGTGTTTTTTACACTAAATAAGAGGGTAGGCAGACAATATATATGTTCCATTTGAAAGAATACCTATGAACACACAGCATTAAAAGCAGATATTTGAAAATCTGTATTTGTTTCCTTAAATCAATCATTTTTTGCATTTGACAGGCAAAAGTTAATAGTGAGGCTTTATTAGCCAGAAGCATGTAGAGACAATTACTTTTAGACTCCACTCAGTTGTAAATAAATTACAGTCAGTGACAACACTGCAAGACATCACACAAGAGTATGCTTTACATCTAGAACCTAGTTCTGAGAACAGGAAATGTAAAATCATTAAAGCAAAGCTAACATTTTAGCATTTTCTATGAGAATAATTTTGATTATTATTCTACTATTGATTCAAAACAGTAATCCTATCAGTTACAAGCTATGTAGAATATTTTTGAATCTCACAATTATCAAGCAAATTAAATATATATATTATATAATGTGATAGGATTATAATATGGCTTCTCTTCTCTAAAGTTGCCCTTTAAAGGGGTACGTGCATGAATTTTGTATATGATAAAGTACTTAAGGAAGTTTGTTTTGACAAAAGCTTTATATCAACTGATGTTACAGCTACCCTACTTTTTCTGTGATGCCTTTTCTGTAGTCTCTCTTTATAAGACATTGAGCAAGAGGAGCCAATTTTTACACCCAAAACTAATGGTTCAACAGAATTTTGCTTTGTTTCATAGCGTATGAATAGTCCTATTAAAGTCAACAGGATTACTCACAATACATAAATGCATGAGTAGGTCCCTTTAGGGCCAAAAAGCTTTATATATCCCATATAAATAGGTTTCCTCTGTTCTTGTTTTTTCCTCCTGTGTAAGTTAAGTGCCTTCACTTGGGACTGTACAGAATAAAAGCTGACTGGTAAATAGTAACTCTTCAAACGTGTCTACAGATGAACAACTATTTGAGAGAGATTTCTGTGGATATAGAATGATGTGATCTGACATCCACAATGTCAGGATATATTTAGATAAGCTCTTTCAAGTAGGGACTGTCTGGCCATATTAATGCAGTAAAGTTACCATCCCAAGCAGTAGTACTCTCTAAATATGCTACTGTGTTGTAAGTGGGCTACTTCCTGAAGGTGAAGCTTTGCAGCAACCTACTTGGGGCCTTAGGAGAAGGCCACTTAGCAACAAGTAGCAGTGACAGTGATGACTTATCCACTACTGAAGTGTTGGCACGCATGAGCCAGAAGAATGGTTGGAAACAAAATTAAATTAAACCCCACTTGGAGAGGTGCACAGGTTTTATGACAAATGTTACACACAATTTTGGTGGTGCCAAAAAAATGTAAAAAAAGTATGGATCCATGGTACATTTGGTAGCTGAGAGAAAATCCTGCTTGTGGGGATTAAGCCAAGTAAAACTAATTTATATTTGTTAGGGCCATGTAATTTTATTGGGTAAAGATGGGAGTTATATCACTGTTGAGTTCTACTTTACTTTGGAAGTAACTGAAAGTAGTAAACCCCCTTTTCATAAGGTTAAGTCATGGTGTTCAGCAGTACTAGTGAATGCTCTCAGCTGGGTCCCACAAGTAAAGGTAATAATGCTCATCGTGGTGGGACTTCAGAAGTCTAGGTTGATTTCCCTATTAAATGATGCTCAGATCCAGGTGTTTGTTCCAGGTGTCTGCTTTCCTTTACCACATGAGATTGCACACAAGTCTTGGCTATTTTAATCTTTCTTAGTAAATAATTCAGGTCCCCCAATCTGGTCATGTCTTGTGAATCCAAACCAGTGTTCCTGGACCCCATAGGGAATTCAGTTGTTATGGTTATGCCTGGAAAATATATCAAGGGCTGTAAAAAATGGTGTCTATTTGGTACAGACAGTGTGGCATAATTTATCATTACAAGTGATTAATTCCACTTCAGATGCCTTAATCAAAAATCCTATTATGGGGCGTCATGTTGTCAAATTAGATCATAATAAACAAGTTTTATTGGAAGTATGGTGAGCCATAAAAGAAATTCAAATACATTTAAGGAAGCTTAATATGGCCATGGCTGTTCCAAAGTGTGCCTCCGATGTGGAAACCAGTCAAGACTGGTTACAATGGCTAAAACGATAGTATGCTAATAATGCCCAAGTCCATGTATGGACAAAGTGTGATGTGCTAACAACTGCAGTTGGTGAAGCTAGACTGGAAGCAGCTGTTTAGTGCAAATATCAAAGTCTTAGCAAATAAATTAAGCTCTGCTACTGCTGAAATGCAAAAGATTGGAAGGTCCTTGATTAGATCCTTGACCTGCCTGGGACTGGGAGACCAACTGGTGGGAGAGATACTACCCGTATTACAGCAGGTCACAGAGGATAATGACCAAGTGATCATCACTGCCATTGACACATGGACTTAATACAATGTCTCCCTGGCTCTAGTTTGCATCCTGGCATAGGCTCTAAGTCAAAGTATAGTTATTCAAATAATTTGTTCAGGCCTTCAGATTCACCTTCCTATTGAATTGAAAAAAACTGTGTTGAATCACCACTCTGTGGCAAAAAGGGACCTTTCTGGTTGGTAAAAGTTGATCTATTTTGTATATGAGGAAGTATAACAACAAATTATTACTCATATAGTCACTGTTGCTCATACAGTCACTGTAAACCTGTTGGTGTCGGTGGGTCTTGTAGTGAGGAAGTTGTCATGTACCCACAATACCACCACCAGTGGGCATATAAAAAGTGGGTGCATGGGAAACAATGAATAAAAAACTGTGCCTGGCTCATGAAGATGTGGGACATGTGTAAAGATCATAATCTACAAATACGTGAGGAATATCTATGTGAGCAACATGACACGCAACAATGTGTTTTTAACATGATTAGTAAACATCATTCTGCAGTAGTTTATGCTAGGAAAGGGTGCATTTGTATACAAACACACTGTTCCTATGTAATGCTTGATCAAATTCAATTGTATTTAATGCCATTTTCTATTAACCAATGTTTTTGTAATGTTTCATCTACCAAAATATGTAATTTTAAATACTTTGTGCCTCACAGGATGACACGAAGTAGCTGAGCTAGATCATGGGTTTATAAAAACATTACTCCAATTCAGTTAGGTTTAAATTCGCCAATGTTAAAACAAGTTTTGTTTCATTCAGATGTGTGTTCCATGTGTGCAAGCACCTAATGTGGGGGGGTACATCGGGTGCCATACCATCCTTCCGGTGTGGGGCCCCTCCCCTCAAGTCTCTTGCCACGTCTTGGTGTTAATGAATAAAAGAAGGAGTTAAGTGGGGATCCTCTCCCTGGGGATGGTAGTACTCACAGTCTTGATGTGATGTTTCACAGGGCTCTGCCGCCCCTACACCCCGTCCACTCGCCAACCTATTGGAGCAGCCTGCGTTGTCCAGCCATGCCTGGTAAGCCCCAATTTTCCCAGGGAACTGGCATCAGCGGAAATTCCTACAGGCTAGCTCGGCTGTTATGGCAGCTGGAATCTCAGCCTAGATTGTGGCCGAGCTAGACTTCGGTCTCCTTTTTTTTCCCTTTCTTTTCTTCTGGTGTCCTCCTCACCTCTGGGAGAAACGCCTCTAATGAATCTCTTAGAAATGAGATGCTGGGGTGGGGATGGGACTGGTTCCTCCCTCCCAGTCTAATTCAGGGGGCACAGCTTCCCCTGCTCTGGATGCCATCCCCAAGCCGGCTACAATGCTCCTCCCAGCCACTGGAGCTTCACCAGGCAACGTGTGTTGACTGCCAGCGTGCTCCTTCTTCTCTCCCCAGCTGGATTCCAGTGGGGCTCTTAAATCTTCCCACGGCAGCTGTTCTGGCCACTGAGATTGGCTCAGCTTTTCCCCACCCCGGGAACAGCTGATTAAGGCGTAATGCTGACTCACACGGGCGCAGCCGCGGCCACAGCCGCAGCTCTGGCTGTGCTCCCAGAGGTAAGTTTCGCCGGGGTGGGGGGTTGCCTGTGCGGCCTGGGGCCCACGGGGTCTGCCCCACCCCCTTTGAAAGCCTGTGGGGGCTTCTCACTACCACATATGGCAAACACAGCACAATCATGAAATCGTGGTGCAAATTAAACATAATAATAGAAAGGTTTTCAGGTATTGAAAAAGTCCAGTGAAGGCAGTGAAACATTCTGGTTGGAAAGTTTTGCTGGGATGGAGTCCTACTACCCAAGAAGTTTTAAATGTAATACTTCACCCCATTGTGGTAATAATTGGCATCCAAAACTGCTGTAATCATCTTTGTTGTTTTAACTGGCTAAACATATTGCCAAGTTTATCAGTAGTACAGAGGCTTTTGTTAACCTTTACAGGACCCTCACTACAAGTCCTTATATTAAAGGAACAAAAAGGTGTACACTCCATGAAGATGAGGTACATTGGTGTGATAACCCCTCCAAGGAGGAGTTTCATAGATTAGATTCATAGATTGTAAGGGGCTGGAAGGGACCTTGCATGATCATTGAGTCCAGCCCTCCTGCACTAGGCAGGAAAGACAGCTGGGGTCAGGTGACTCTAGAAAAGTGACCGTCTAGTCTTCTCTTGAAGATTTCCAGGGTAGGTGATTGCACCACCTCTGGAGGAAGTTTATTCCAGAGTCTGGACACCTAACTGTGAAGAAGTTTTTCTAGTGTTAAGCCTGAAACGGTCTTCCAGGTGTCTGTGGCCATTACTCCTCATTTTCC